TCTACTAATTTCAAATTCAGCAATATATGGAAGTCTATTATATTTTTTTATATACTCGCCATATTCCTTATTAAGACGCATTTTAATTTGATCTAGGAGGATTGGGTTTTTCATTTTGCGAGGAGTTAAACCCAGAAATTTTTTCTCATTAGGAGTGTTATCATTTGCCAAACCAAAAAGATACTGTATATGATTAATCATTAACTCTGGGATTCGTTTATTATTATATCATTAAAAACAAATTATATTGAATGCATGTACAGCTTGTTACACATAATTGTTTGTTTTCTACTTTATCCTCAAATACCATACTAACTAATTATTCTAGATCTACACTATCACCTAAGTATTTAGATTTCAATAACTTCAACCAATGCATATCATGTTTCTGACTCAGTTTTTTCCTATCCTCAGCTCCTAGTAGTCAATTAATATATTCATGATTTATGAAAGATGAATAGCATTCAATTCCTTCCTTACCAGCCCAATCGAAATCTATTAACATTCCTTGATATTGATCTTGAGATTTGTTAACCAAAATGTTGAGATCACGAAGGTCAGCAAAAATGATATTTTTCTTATGCAATTTGCTGATAGCTTCTTCGATATCTTCGAAAACCATTTTATATTTATTATGACTAAGCGAATTACTGCAGTTGTAAAGTGGCTTGGCCTTAACATAATCTATTATGACCATATAAAAACCATCCACCTCTTTGCTAATATAGAGTAATTTTGGCACTTTTCCAATTTCGCTACACAATTCGTATGCTCTCTGATTATAACGCCACATGAATTTAACAACAATTTCCCTCCTGTTCTTTGTTATAGCTTTCCAAAGAAGCTTGTCTGGCTGATCTACAAGCTTTTTTTTATATGTAAATTTTATAGTTGTATTCTGTTGTTTGTATTAATTCAGATAAGGAAAAAACCATTGTGAATTTTGTAGATTTGCTATCGATCCATAATACTTCTTTAGTCTATTAACCCCAAACATAAAGCTTTGAATAGTCGTGTCACTTACTCTGCGTAATTTCGAATATTTGTAGAAATGAGAGGTATAAAGTCTGTTAAGAGATCTACAATAGGTTTCTTAACATACACCACTTCTAAAACATATACCCAAGGTCCAGCTAAGTATAAAATGAAAGACGGCCAGTTGCATCATTTGAGCAATTTCTCATTTTTCTCCTGAGTATAATATTTTATATAAGAAGTCCCAGCCTAGATAGTCGGATCACATTTACCCGTGCCAATTTCATTTTTTATCTCAGCAAGTAGGCGTAATACACTAAATAAATGAAAATTACATTCCAATACACCATCATTTGAAGATTCATCATCTAGACGAATTATTTTTAATTCTTCGCCAAATAGTTGTCGAAATTTTTCTCTAAATTTTTTAGAACGCTCAAGTTCACTAGGATATATATCTGCTATTTCATTAATGAACTTAAGAGTCCATTGATAATGTTCTTTTCCCATCTCTAGATCTTCATTATGATAATCATGCAGGAACTGATTGAAAACATCATAGTAAACTTGTACCAGTGGGCCAACACATTCTGGAGGATGGTGAATAAGTAACTGCTTATCCTTAACATGATATTTAATAAGATTACCAAGAAGTGCAAAGGATAATGGGGGAAGGTAACTCCGAATCTTTTTTACGTTTCTTTCTTGTTCTGTACAGATTGAAAAAGTGGTTAAGTTTACAGAATTCTACAGACACAGACATACATTATACAACCAACCTTTTTCATAGTTATCTACTTTGAAAAAATGTCACTTAGTAGTTGATGAAGATCTGCATTACAAAAGTTATTAGTTATGTCAGAAGCACTCTACATAATAGCTTGAATACTATGAATAGGTTCTCTTACGAGACTATAATTTTCTCCTGCTGAAGTGTTATTAGTTTTTCTTCCAATTCTTTTATTTTCTGATCTTTTGCATCTGTATCTTTACAATAAGTATGAGGCCCAAGTTAATAAATGAAATTATTGCAGAGAAAGCAGTATAGGTTTGAAATATTCGAATGCAGTGGTGGTACTACTTACCCTGGTCCTCACCCTTGATTTTTTTAATTAATTTCACGATTCTTTTTGCTAGTCCCAGTCCCAATCCACCTTGAAGCTCTTCCTGAGTCAAGTCAAGAAATTCTTGGCCTTCAATACGTTGTTTATGAAAAAATTCGAAATCACTTTTCTTAAGCTTTAAGTTTTGTTCACCCAAAAATTCGATTATCTTTTCTGTATTCCATTTTTCTGTTTTGTCAATTGTAAGAAGAGTAGACATGGTTACTTATGTTATTTAAGTGTCTTGCTTAGACAAAAAATTGCACAAATTTTTTTTAAAGAAGTCGTCACCCTTTTTATAGTTTATACAACAATCAGATTGTCGTACAATAGATCACATGTGCATTTTTTAATCGTAATCTCTGATCATACATGTGATTTTGAATACAGTAATAATATCATTGTTCTGTCATAACAATACAGCAATATAACTAGTAAATTTCGAAGCATTTGGAAATTTCGTATATATTTTTATATGTTATTTGCGTAATGTGATACAGTATTGACTCGAATTTTTCTAAGACTTTATTTCGAAAGAAATAGCACTTACGGCCTGCTTTCAGATACCATACTCATGATCGCTTTTTTAAAAATATCAATTTTATTACAACATTCGGAGAGAATACATTGGGTCAATGTAGATGAATGCAATATCAATAGCTACAATACATGGAATAGCTAAAATTTTCAAGCAAAATTCTGAAACATGCACAATCACGAGCATATACAATGAAGTTAAATATATTTGAATTGACCGACTTTGGTCAGGTACTGCAATTTTAGCCAGGGCGCCCGGTCAAAAAATGAAAAATGGCAATTTGTATGCCAAGGTATGAGCTTCGCTCTACTTGCCCCATCTCACAAATTAGTTATACATAACGATAAGCCTTGTAATATAGATAAATTTTATATGCGAAAATGAATATTTTTGTTGCGTGGCAAATTATGTATAGCGAACAAATCGTTAATTCTGATTTATTTTTATTTAACGTTAATTATTCGAGAATTTTTATATTCATATCACTTATATATTCTATCTGCCACCTTTTTGCATGTTTTGCAATATAGATGTGAATGGTAATTGTATTCGTCACAAACTTTACACCCATGCTTCCATCCTCTAAATATATGCCACTTTTTGATATAATTTTTCTTTTTTTATTCACGGGTATGTTATTCTGCTCTTTTATCGTTATATATTAACAGAAAAAATATAACGTGGCTAAAACTTTTTATTATACAAACCTGTAATATGTTTGTGCCCTGTCTTACACATAATCCTTAGATCAATATCCGATTAAATGCCTATATTTAACAAGCATTTATTGGTATATATAAACTTTAATACGTATAAATTTAATTATATAATTATATTTATATATGATTTATTAATAAAAAATATTTATGTAATTTGGGGGTTCTTGTTGCATCAGTTGGAAAAAAAAGGATACTCATAAGAAAGAACTCACGTTGATGTCAACTTGAGGGACGTGATCTGCACTAGCTAAAATGCTTTATAATACTATAAATTTGTGTAGCATTAAGTTTTGAAATATAATCCGCACTATATGATTGAA